AACACCATTTGAAGCTGGAATGATTGGAGAAATCCGCCTCAAAAAGTTGTATCAGCGAGAGGAGACGACGTCATTTTCGAAAATTTTGTGCATTTGCGCGCTTCGTGACGTGACGTGCGTGTTCACCTCTCCCTCCTGCATCGATTCCTGTTAGACTTTTTGAGATCGAATCCGCTGACCAATGTATAAAGCTTTCGCAGTCGTAGCGAAGTTCAAGTTAAAAAGGTAAGAAAAAAACGTTCAAGGTAAAAATCGATTATATTGGCTGAGAAAATGAAGAACGAAAAAATGGGAAAGAAAATGAGAATTACTATTTGCTTTGGTGATCGGATAAGAAGCTGTACTTTCTTTATAATTGTCTCGTACAAGGATCACCTTCATGAATGTTTTCAACAGTGTTACATCTCCTCGTGTATTCTGTTACCGTTGCGTTTCGCACTATTTCTTAACAACGCCAGTGGGCTTTAACTTTAACTTAACCTACAGGTTAAAACCTCAGTTCAGTGACATAAAAAAAGCCAGTGTTTACAGGCGATCCATTTCCCAAGTTGAGTGGCTCTTAGCCACTTTGATTGCAAAATGACATCATTTCTCTATATCGCTGAATTCCACATGTCATTGGAAATGCTAAGGGGGTAGAAGTCTCAAAAGCCCAAATATTTATAGGTTAAGTGGAATTTCCAGGTGGGTAGGAGGGCTCAAACCAAAATCTTTCATGGAGGCTAAGGGGTTGATATTTGAATGACATGCAATAAGATTAAAGAACATGCAAAACTTGTAAAGCTGCAGCTGTCTAATCAAGAGTTTTTTTTGCTATGTGAAACATTGGACCTTGCTTTTGAAAGACTGTTGCAACTGATAGGAAATTTGTTTGGTAAAGAAGATAGTAGAATATCACTGCCTTGATGACAACAGAGATACATCAGCCTTGGTAATTTCAGAGACAAGAGATATCACATTTCATCCAGTTTTTCCTCAGTGTTATCACATTGGAACAGCACCAGTTTTGCGAATGTGTGAAACCCCGAAGATGGCAGTTCGCTTTCAGTTTTTTTTCCCCTCAAAACAATACTTAACTTTCCTCTTTTCCTGTAATCGTTGTTTAAAACGTCGGAGCAATGTATCTACAGCATCTTTCTATCCTCAGCATAAAGTAACACGAAACTGATGCTTTACGAATACAAGAAAATCATGCCTAACCGAAACTTCATTTTCGCGCTTTGAAAAACGAACTTCGTGGCAACGTTTGATCGGGTGCGACGTCGTTTTTCGTTGGACGATTCAGATGAGCAAATTTCAGACGTTTTCTATCTCGCCGCTGTACACAATACATTGACTCTAGCCAAGTTAGCATTTACAGAAGGGTTCGTGTCTACAAATCAGTGATATTTTAGTAGCCCACTTTCACGATTTCCTCTGCTCCGTGAAAGCCTCTATGATAGAGGTTACTATATGTGACACTATTTTGAGAAAGGGGGAAAAAACATGTCAGGAACAACATTAAAAGAAGCTTTTGACGAAACTTGAAGTCACGCTTTGCATTGTGTTGTTTTAACGGTAGAAAACAACTTCCATATTGAAGGGAACTGTAGAAACACGCGTACACGCCTTCATAATGTTAATTTCTGGCAAAATTAGTAATTCTATTTTAATTTAATTTATTTTAATGCAGGCCACAATTCTCTTGTAGCGTGTTTAACCCTCCCTTGTTGTTACTTACAGCATTTCTTGAGGTTGGAGTTTCCAGCTATCTTGAGAACACGGTCCATCATGTGT